AAGCTGAGGCAAGAGAATGGCGTGAACCCAGGAGGTGGAGCTTGCAGTAAGCCGAGATGGTGCCACTGCACTCCAGCCTGGATGACAGGGCGAGACTCCATCTAAAAAAAAAAAGAAAAAAAAAATCACTTTGCAACAGGATATGGAAAAATCAAGAGGGATTTTTCAGCCTTTTTTTATAACTTTCTTTTTTTTTTACGTGACTTTAAGAAAGTAATATGTATCACTGTTGTGATAAAAATAAAAACCAATAAAGCTATTTTTGTTTTTTATATTTTAAAAACCCATTCTGACAAAAGACTTGAATGGACATCTACTGAAGAAGATATACAGATGGCAAGTAAGCATGTGAAACATCATACGTCATTAGGGAAATGCAACTTAAAACAGCAGTGAGATGCCACTATACACCTATTAGAATGGCCAAAATCCGGAACACGGACAACACCAAATGCTGGTGAGGATGTGAAGCAACAGAACTCTCACTCATTGCTGGTGGAAATGCAAAGCGATGCAGCTACTTTGGAAGACAGTTTGACAGTTTCTTACAAAACCAGACCTACTCTTAACATACTATTCAATAATCACACTCCCTGGTGTTTACCCAAAGGAGTTGAAAACTTAGATCCACACAAAACCTGCACTCACATGTTTGTAGCAGTTTTATGCATAATTACTCCAACTTGGAAGCAACCAAGATGTCCTGATGAGTGCATAAATGAACTATGGTACATCCAGATAATGGAATATTATTCAACCCTAAAACAAAATGAGCTATCAAGCCATAGAAAGACATGGAATTAAACTTCAATGCATATTACTAAAGAAAAGAAACCAATCTGAAAATTCGATTACATGTTCTTTGATTCTAACTACATGACATTCTGGGAAAGGCAAAACTATAGAGACAGTATAAAGATCAGTGGTTGCCAGGGGTTGGGCAGATGAACAGGCAGAGCAAAGCAGATTTTTAGGGCAGTGAAACTGTTCCGTGTGATATTGCTGATATTGCAATGGTAGTGCTAGGGTTTGTATGTGGTTTGTTTGGCCCCACCAAGTCTCATGTTGAAATTTGATCCCCAGTGTTGGAGGTGGGGCCTTGTGGGAGGTGTTTGAGTCATGGAGGTGGATCCCTCATGAATGGTGGTAATGAGGGAGTTTTCACTCTTAGTTCCCATGAGAAGATTGTTGCAAAGAGCCTGGCACCTCCTCTCTTTCTTGCCTCCTGTCTCACCATGTGATCTGCATATATCGGCTCCCCTTCACCTTCTGCCATGAGTGGAAGCTTCCTAAGGTCCTTATCAGAAGCAGATGTAGGTGCCATGCTTTTATTTTTATTTTTATTTATTTATTTATTTTTGAGACAAAAGCTCGCACTGTCGCCCAGGCTGGAGTGCCATGGTGCGATCTCAGCTCACTGAAACCTCCACCTCCTGGGCTCGAGAGATCCTCCCACCTCAGCCTCATGAGTAGCTGGGACTACAGGCATGCATCACCACACCTGGCTAATTTTTTTTTGTATTTTTGGTAGAGACAGGGTTTCACCCTGTTGCCCAGGCTTGTCTCGAACTCCAGAGCTCGAGCGATCTGCCCACCTTGGCCTCCCAAATTGCTGGGATTATAGACGTGAGCCATGGTGCCCAACTGCCATGCTTTTGTGTAATACCAAGAGTGAGCCCTAATGTCAACTATGGACTGGTGATGGTGATGTGTCAATGCAGGTGCATCAACTGTAACAAATATCCCATGCTGGTGGAGGATGTTGGTAGTGGGGAAGGCTGTGCCTGTATGAAGACAGGGGATATATGGGAACACTATATTTCTGCTCAATTTTGCTGCGAACCTAAAACTGCTCTAAAAAATAAAGCCTATTAAGAAAACAAAACAAAACAATAAAAAATTCCACGAGAGGAAGAAGGTAAGACAAGGGGTAGTAAGAGCCTGCAGAGGTTGTGACAGGGATCTAGCCCCAGGGCTGGGGCCTGGGCTGGGGCCTAAGCTGGGCAGAGGCAGTTGGGGTGGGTAGAAGGGATCCAGGAGCATTCACAGGAGTTAGGCTGCTTGGATGCTGGGAGAGCAAGGAAGAGCAGTGCGCTGAAGCTTCTTGCTTAACTAGCGATGTGGTTGCCATAAGCAGAGATATGATGAACCACCTTCAGTATGATAGGCAGTTCTTGTAGGCCAGAGATTGCACCAGAAGATGGAGAGGGAAGGAGGAGACCTTATAACTAAGACAAGAGGAATCACATTTTATTCTTTTATTTAAGAGAGGTCCTGTTGATTTATCATTTTTCTGTTTTATGCATCACTTGTAGCACATAATGCCGTGAGTAACCCATATACAGAAAATTCACAGCCTGAACTGGCTTTGGGGAAGACCAAGGCACGTTGGGAGGAGAAGGCCAGCCCCAAAGGCTGGAAGTGACATTCCTGTTGATAAAGGGCAGAGCATGAGCAAACTGAGAGAGAGAGGAGATGCAAAGACAAAAATTTCATGCAAAGGATGGGTGTATTCAGAGACTGATGAGCTGCAGGTTGCAGAGAGGCCCTGTCATGGCCCTCTGTTATTTGTGCTGTCTGCTCCCTTCTCTGGTGGTAGCACACCTGCCACTCCTCATCATCCTAGCATTGACGTGGGTTTTCTCTGCCCTGACCCCAGTCCATCCTCCACCCTGCTGTGCCCCACTATGTGCTCAAGGAGACTGACCCCTGTAGACTGAATCCCTTGGTTTCCTGGCCGGCTGGCTTCTGATTGGGCCCTGCAGGAGACTGAGGGGAAGAGGAGGGAGAGGATGGGCTGTTTGTTCCCTGTTACCTCCTTGCCTTGCAAAGGCTGTGCTGTGCCCCCAAGACCACAGCAGCCCCACCCCCCTGGCCCCAGGCCTATTGGCTCCTCTAAGGGTTCTCCACCCTTGGCCCTGCAAACTTAGGCATGGTCATGGCTTCCCCGTATTGCTAGTCCCTGCGTGCTAGAATATTCTTTGATAGTTCCCTTAACCCTACTCACATGGCTGTGAATGATCTCTTCATTAAAGTCTCTTCAGGCAATCTTTTCAGGGAGAAATTGTGTTCTTGAGAAGCATAGAGATTAACAAAGGCTGTCAATGACAATTGTAGACCAAGGTGGGAGGGCAGGGGCACTCCCTGCTGTTGTGAGGAGTGGGGGAAGGTGGGGAATCCTACCCAAAGCTGCACTCATCTGCTGGCTTGCAAGTACATTATCCAGAACCACAGACAAAACCCACGGGTAGAGGCAGGCGCTGACTCCTTGCAGGTAGATAGCACTGGTGACGTCTTTGAGGAGGAAGGTGGCCCTGGTGGGCCACCTTTGACCATTTTGGGTCACTCTGTCAGAGTGGAGCAGGGATGGAGGAGGGAGGAGGCATGGGGTGGGAGGAATGCAACACAGATGGGTGAGACAGACAGAGGGGTCAGGAGTCTGCGGCAGCCTTGGTGGACAATGGTGAAGACCTGACCTAGGGAAGTGGCAGAGATGAGGGAGGGCATCTGAGAACTATTCAGGAGATAGCCTCAACGTTCTAATGCTCAGTCCTATGTTGAGTTTGAGGGTGAGGGAGGCAATGACAGTTCGTGTTCTGGAGTGGGTTCCTGAGTAGATGGAGATGCTGGCCACAGTAAGGGGCAGGACTAGTCAGGGCAAGGAGCTGCTTTCTGTTGTGGACAGATTAATGTGTAGGACTGGCCACCTTTCATAAGAATGGAATCGTACACCGTGTGGTCCTTTGTGACTGGCTTCTGTCACTTAGCATAATGTTCTCAAGGTTCATCCATATTGTAGCAGGGACCACTGCTTCACTCATTTTAATTGCCAAATAATATTCCATTATATGGAAGTAGCACATTTTATTTATCCATTCATTTGTTGGTGGACATTTGGGTTGCTTCTGGTTTTTGGCTGTGACAAATGATGCTGGTGTAAACATCTGTGTACAAGTTTTTGTGTGGACATTCATTTTTTGTTTCTCTTGGGTATATACCTACAAGTACAGTTGCTAGCCAGGAGTACAAATGGTAACTCTATGTTTAGTATTGTAAGGAGCTGCCAGACTATTTTTACAAAATGCTTCTCTATTTCTAGTAACATTTTTAATACTTTAAAGTCTTTTTGTTTGATATTAGCATAGCAACCCTAGCTTTCTTCTGCTTATCCCTTGTCTTTTAAAAAAGATGATTTTATCAGAAATGCATATAGCCATAAGTAATATATTACATGATTTAGTTATACATATTTGAACTTTATAAAAATAGTGTCATGCTATAAATGTAGTTACTTGGACTTTTCACTCAATATGCTATTTCTAAGACCCACCTATGTTGTTGTATATAGCTACAGTATAATTAATTTATGTTCTCTGCTGTGTAATATTCCATGGCATAACCCTACCATAATTTATTGATTCATTCTCCTGTAAGAGTCTATTTGGCATGTTTCCAGTGTTTTGCTATGACAAATTTATTGCTGCTATAAACATTTTTATACACCTCTCCTGATATAAGAGTTTCTCTTGTTCTCAGAGCAACTAGCAATATAACTATTAGCTAGGAACTTGTTAGAAATGCAACTTCTCAAGTCCCACCCAAGACCCACTGAGTCAGAAACTATAGGATAGGCCCAGCAATCTGTGTTGTAATAAGCTCTCTGGGTGACTGTGGTATCTGATAAAGTTTGAGGTCCACTGAAGTAGGAGTGAAATTTCTCGATTACAGGCAATCAGTTGTTTTCTGAAGTGGTTGTTCCATGATTTCATGGAGATCCACCTGCTCAGCACTTAGTATTGTCAGACTTCTTTATTTTGCTCACCGGGTGGGTCATACTGACTGATCTTCCCTACTGAGAGGCATGGATGTGGCTGTCGATTTCTCCTTCCTGCCTGTCCTCCCATCCTGCCCTGTCTAGGGGGCCAGAGCCACGCCATGCATGCTGACCCCTCGGCTGTCACTGTGGATGAAGCCTTCTTCAGTGTGGTTTGTTTTGACAGGAACACATGCACCACCTGCTCGCCCTGGAGCATCGCGCCGAGGAGCAGTTCCTGGAGCACTGGCTGAACCCTCACTGCAAACCCCATTGTGACAGGAACAGGGTTCATCCTGTGTAAGGGGATCAGGACCAGCCTCGGTACGTCTCCTTCTCTCTCCCAGGCCTCTGTCTGAGGGAGTGGCGGGGGATATAGCATGGCATGGGCTGGGAGATTTTCTGGACCATGCCTCAGGGGGACCAGCTGGTTAGCAGTTTATGGGTTTGGAGTAGGGGTGGCAAGAGTGAGGCAGGAGACATAGTGGGGAGCCAGGTTGAGAGGAGCGCTGGGGGACACACAGGGGAGCCTAACTTTTATTGAGTCACAAAGTGATCCCAAATGAGGAGGGATGTGACCCTATTTGCCATGCAGAAAACCTCTCTCTGGACCCCAAATCTGGAGAAGTGTATTTTGTTGAGACTCAGGTCTCTTCGGGAGGGCTCAGCATTCGTGGAGTCAACCTGTGACATCTACCACGATCATCACTACTGTCATCAGGATCAACAACTTCTTTCCCAGATCTCGCTCATGTTCCCCGCTGCCTTCCTGCAGCCTTCAAGGCTGCCAATCTGCCCAGCCCACCCTCTGTCTTTCCCTTTTCCCGGGGTTTCTGTTTTCAGCCTACCAGCAGGGGACTGCCCAGCTTTCCCCCCACACCCAGCATGCCCCCAACTCTGTACCTCTGTGCCTGGATGAGGCCGTTTGCTTCTCCCTGTCTGTCCTCATCATCTTCCCCCCTTTCCAAATCCTGTTAGATAAGGTAGAAAAATTCCTTCAGAGGATAAGCCCAGTGAATTTCATTTCTCCTCTGTAAGTTTTATGGACCAA